CCAGACTAAACAGACCCTATAATGGCGCGGCAAGACATGGGATAAATCACTCTCTCATTTAATACCTTATTAATAGCATTTCAGTGTTTACCAGGTTTATAAATTCCCCACTTAAAATCTAACATCATGAAATGTCATGCAGCAGTGCGGTGTAGTGCTTTACTAAACCTAACACCAGATGCTAACATTGCTCACATTGGTATATATTTACCATTTGGCTGTAGCATGTTAGCATGCAAATTAGCACTGAACACAAAGAACCTATTTATTAAATTAGTTTGTGTTTGGCCCGTAGGGTCTTTAAGTTAAAGTGCAAATGTGTTAATATCAAAATAAAGTACAAAGGGTAAAAGAAGGCTATTTATTATTCAGAATGGCCCTTTTTCAGAATAATCGATATTTTTTTTATTGGATTATAATTATTGATGCTCTTACTTGATTGATTATCAGTCTTTAACCTTTAATAATACCTTATAACTTATATGTTCATTATTCTTTTTTATTATTAATTTGAAATTGTAAATAATCTAAAGTTATAAAATAAATGTTGTGGACAAGGCTGAAAAGTACAATATTAGTTTCAGTGTAGTGGAGTAGAGATATAAAATTAAAAAAAGCCTACAAATTCTTCATAACTGAACAAGTAGTCTACTCTATTTGAGTAAATATACTTCATAATGTAGCCTCCAAGCTCTGAGTCCCACTGATATTTGTGTAGTTTGTTTTCTTTCTTATGCGGTTTATTTGAGTATTCATGTGTTTCAAACGTGCAGACATTAAAATCTGATTACAGCCACAGTAACCCCATTCACACTGTGGTGATAACCGAAGAGGAAACACCCCGAACACACACACACACACCCCTTGTTAAAGCAGACTCTGTGAAGAGGAAACACCGTTACACACTCACACAAGCGCGCGCAGAGGGAGGGAGGGTACTCCGCGCGCTCGGCTCTGTTACATTAACTCAATCTCAAAGTCAGATTCATGAACTTTAGTTTGTGCTGTTTTTTCCTTCCGTTTCCTTTCGCTCAGTTTCAGCTCACCTCTCTGCCTGTCACAGGATAACGGAGCCTCGTGCGCTGCCGCGAGCGGACAGACGTCAACCGGTCCAAGCACGAGGCGGTTAAGGGACAGAGGAGCAACAGGAGGTTTCACGAGCGCGTCGCACCGGGAACCAGAGGGATTTAACGGAGACTTCAGGAGCGGCTCTTGGGTTACACAGCCGCCCGGTACCGACTGGACCCACACTCTGACCCGGGATATCTGCAGTCTGAGCGGTACAGTAAACTCCCGTTAGAGCCGGGACGATGACCGGTGGTCGGTTAATAAATTAGTGACAGACAATTAATGACTTGAGCTGATGAAGAAACGTTTTCAGTCACTGGACAAACATTTTCCGCTTCTTCAGTGTCTTCTTCGTCTTAAGATGTCTTTGGGTTTCACTGTTCGTCAGATTGAGTTAGTTGTTCACTGACTGATCTAAATGAATAAACTGATGATAAAGAGTTAACTAGCCCTGCTTCCATCCGTGGGTGAAAAACCATTTACTGCAGTACAACAACCACAATGTAATAATACTGGATTTAATTAAACGTCCCTTTATCAAACTTTTTGTAATTAAAAGTGTTGTTAAGAAGCGTTGAGTGTACAGGGCCGGACCAAGAGGTTTGGGGGCCCTGGACAAAATGTGTTCTCCTCCAACTGAATCAGTCTGATTTCATATTAAAGTCTGAGATATTAATATCAACTGGTTTGAACTGTTGGTGGGAACATTAAACCACTGTACTGTCTTCCACTGTAGACACTCAGCAGCCATTTGCTTAGCATCAGGCGCTTGGTACCCACAGGTGTTACTTCCACAGAAACATGAAAAACTGTAGAGAAACAAACTGGTCAAACTGGAGAAAGCTGTTTTTATTTTGAAGAAACTGTGTGTGAATGCTTGCTGGTGAAAGGCTGAAGCTAAACTAAATAGCTGGCTTCAAAATTGCATGAAAGATGTGGAATATTGGAAGTTTTGTTGAAAAGCTGATGCTAAAATGAACTGCCGGCTGGTGTTCTTGTTGGAAAAGTGGGAAAGAGTGTGTAATTACTATGAATGGGACTGAAACGTGTAATACGGAAGAGGATTAGGGCCAAATGTGAAAATTCTATTCGAGTTCAGAGTAAAAGTAAAAAGCGCAAGTTAAAAAATAAAAAAAGTAACAAAAAAACTGTAATCTTAAAGATGATTTGCATTGCTTTAAGCTTTTTAAGGAGCTGCAGGAATATTCTAGTTGAGAAAAAGTGTAATTATTATGATTGGGACTGAAATGTTATACTATAAGGTCTGAATTAGGTTTAAAGCTTGAAAAATACTTAGAAAAAGTGTGTGTCTGTGAATGTATGTCAAATTGCACTAATTAGCTCATCTCAATCAGCTCCAATTAAAGGTTGCCATGGTGATGGTATCTGTTTTGACTCATGATATGACATGACAGAGTTCATATCATAGAGATTTTAGCTGAGGCACACCTCTCATGATTCTGCTTCTAGCGCCAAAACCATAGCTCCTATTACTCAAATGGGGATCATCTGAGCAATAAGAGAAGAGTGTGACAATATTAGTGTGTTTCCCAAAATGGCAAAAAATATGTTTGTTTATGCTGTAAAACAGTTATATCGTAGTTTTTTTCTAGTATAGATATATTCAGTCTCACATACACATCACATGGTATCTTTTAAAGCCTTTAAATAAAGTTTCAGGAGTTTGAACAGAATTTGGTCAGAAAACATGAGTTTGTTAGGATGGAGACGGAAAAATCTGCAGCTTTGATTCATGTTCTCTTAAATGAAATGGAATAAAGGTAAACGTCTGCTCTGGTATGTATTGATGGTTATTGATGTGTGTCTCTGGTGTCCTGCAGTTCTTCCCCCATCATGTGTCCCGCGGCGGGCAGTGTGTGTGCGCGCTGCAGCCTGATCCTGGTCCTGGTTCAGGTCCTGGTCTTGGTCCATCCTGCGGCCGGATACAATCTGGATCAGGACCACAGTCTGGAGTTCCGTGGCCCCGCCTCCTCCATGTTTGGATACTCAGTCCTGTTGCATCGTCATGGAGATCACAGCTGGTATGGAGCTATACTGTTCTGATACTGATGTGATTGATCTATTGGTCCTCATCTAAACATTAACCCATTTTATTAATATTCTGTTGATGAACTATTCATATTTTATTGATATGCTGATGACATGCTATTGATCCACTGTTGATTGATCTCCTGTTCTTCTGCTATTGATCCTCTGTTGATCTCATACTGAACATTGACATTTAAATAATAAAAATAAATGACTTCTGTCCTTATGGAGCTGCAGAGATCAGTACATTTAAATTAATTTAGTTATCATGGTGATGCTCTATTAGCTGCTATCTTCACAGTAGTAGTGTCTGTGTGTGTGTGTGTGTGTGTGTGCGTGCGCATGCTAATTAGCCAGTTCTTGTCAATGAGAGGAGCTCTTTGATACTTCACACACAGATGCCATTCAGACACTGAACAGACACAAAGACAGATCCTGTCTAACTGTCTCTCCCTCTCTCTCTCAGGTTGGTGGTTGGAGCCCCAGTAGCAAACTCATCCTCCAATCCGTCGGTTCGATCTCCAGGAGCTGTTTACCGCTGCAACATCTCTTCTGGGCAACGCCACTGCCACAGCATGCATTCTGGTGTGTTTCTGCCTGTCTGTCTATTATGTGTTGTTCTTTTCTCCAGCTTTCAAAGTACTAATGAACAATGTTCCTCACACCAAATGTGCAAGGTGACATGGGTTGTGCAAAATAATGACAGTATGTCTGTAAGACATTGATCAGCTTTTGTACGGACTAAACAAAGGATATATAATTAGTTAATTATTAAGGTCTAGAGGTGTTGGTACATGGTGTCTTGGTAGTTATGTATACTGTGGCTTTTCTAGGATTTTTTTTAATTTTAAGTCGTAGTGGGATCGGAGTATTGTTGCATAACTTGGGGAATTCAGACATGCACAAAATGAACTTTTCTTCTGCTTTTCTCTATGGTGTCCTCTGTGGCCTCAAACACACTGAGTTTAAAGGAAGTTGGTGTATTTGAAGTCAGATTTCTAAAAACTGTGGTGTGAAAATCATTGTGCACCAACATGGCTCGTGTCCATTGAAAGTAATGGCCATTTTTTGTGCCGTGCCAAACTGATATTCACATGTTGTGTTGTAGAAACACAGTGTCCTTCACACCAGATACACTGGATTGCTGCTGCAGAAGCTCTTAGTTTGTAATTCTACCTTTCACCTCACAGTTGTGGAGATAAGGCATAAACGGACTTTATGTCTGGATTATCATTTATTACTCTGACTGGTCTTCTTGGATTGTACAGTATAAAGCAACACGTACGTAAACCCCATGGTTTTTTAGACGCAGTGCTATTAACTGAACATTAATAAACACAGTCATTGCTCCGACATGTTTGCATTTTTGTATCCTGGCCACTAAAGTCTTGCTTGTGAAGGGGACTCGGCTGTTAACCTACACTGGTCAGCTGTGGCCTTTAACAGTAAAATACCACTGGATCACCTTTGAAGGCAGGATGTGTGAAACAGGGTTCATTTGTGTCTATGGGTGCAGATGTGCTGGCCTGTGGGAAGACGTGTGAAGCAGAGAGTGATCACCAGTGGCTGGGAGTCAGTCTGTCCAGACAACCTGGAGACAACGGAGGACACATCCTGGTAACACACACACACTTTCTGTCTCTCACACACACATGCACCTCCACTGAAATGTCAAACAGCACATCAGGGTGACAGAGGCACCACAGATGAGCAGTGATTGTGTGTCTTCCTCCGTGTTTATGACGATGGCTGATTGTCGAGAAGAATGCCCAATGATCTGCTGTTTCTCAGTAAACCTCCAAATGTGCAGCACAAGGTTAACACACAGAGACAGACTAATACTCGTCTTTCATCTTTCAATATTCATCTTTGTTAAGGAAGCAGTATATGTACCTTTGGTGCTTGATTTGACTTGTGTGCTTATTTGGTCAAAATTGTAATTACAAGAAGAAATCTGAGTTTTCAGATGATGTGAATCTTTGGCTCAGACTGTTATATTTGTCCTCAAAAAAGAAGAAAAAATTAGCTAAAATGTCTAGGGGACACTGCTCTTTTAAGGTACAAAGAAGTAATTACCTGTGTTAGCCTTTCAATCTCAACACGGGTAAAAAATGAATATATATTTGTATTTTTAGACTGTTTCTTTGTGTGTAAAGGAACAGTATTGGAAGTATTTTTAATTGAATTGAAATGAAATAATCAGGACAACCACAACAAAGAGTGTGTAAGAGCTGACAGGAGCAGTTGTTGGACTAACATGAAAAGCCTAGTGGGAAACAGTGGTAATGTTAGGAAGCTATTCTAACTAATGTCTCCTCACTGTGATTGTCTCTATTACACAGTGAGTTAAAGATTGTCAACAGGAACACTTACAGGGCTGATAATCTTACACACACACTCACACACAGTTTCTGTCACAGTGACATGGGTCATGGGAATAACAGCACCCTGCTGCTAACTTGTGCTGTTGTCAGTAATGAGTTCATGTCATATGACATGTTGCTGTGTGTGTGTGTGTTCAGGCGTGTGCTCACCGCTGGAAGAACGTCTACTACTCAAAGAAAGACAGCCAGAACCATAAGCTGCCCAATGGAGTCTGTTATCGCTACGACAACAACCTGAGTCACGCCCAACCCATCATCCCCTGTTACAGAGGTACACACACATACACACACACTCAAACATAAACACACACACATTGTGTAAGTATTGAGTCAGTTTTTTGTTGTTTCAGTACTGCACATTATGTCTGAAAGGAAATCCTATCAAATGTGCGTCAATTATGGGCACAACTTTCTGTTATTTAGCAGAAAGTCTCTTGGAGTGCAATGAATAACCAGAGGAAGCGGCAATAATTCATGCAACTTACCATGGGTCTACGGATTAAAAAAAATAGAAACCTGAATATTTCATCATCTTTTATGATATCTTAACTTACAAAGAGTTGCTTATTCACAGATCCAGAAGTTACAGAGCAACATCATCATTCATTTAGAGTTTGGTGTTTGGTACAAATGTAAATCAAATATTCACTTAGCTCTGAATTTGGTCTCTACCATCTCCTGAGGGAAATACCCTTTAGCTGCTAAATGCTCCACTATGTTAGTCTCTAACTGTGTGTGTCTGCTGTTTGGTGCTGGAGAGGACATTCTCGCGTTTTAGAATTTTGGATTATGTCTACGCCTCACTTTGTGTGTGTGTAGAGTGTGTGAAAGCTGCAGCTGTTTTGCTGCAAGAGAAAAAACATTTGGGTTTATCTTCTTTTTTGTTTGTTTACCTTCACCTCCCAACATGTCTGTCTGTCTCCGTCTTTTGCAGACCACCAGAGGAAGTTCGGTGAGGATTATGGGTCATGTCAGGCTGGTATTTCCAACTTCCTGACGGAGGTCAGTAACATACAGGCAACAAGGTTATTTTAAATCCTGTTTCTCTTTACTGTTCCCACCAGCAGACTGAATGTGATCCATCAGTGCTGTCTTATGTTTAACTTCAGGAGTACTGGGGGTTTTTCAATTCTGGATCCCATGGATGCCATCTGCTCTTTTCTTGTCCCTCCTCATGCTGTTCTGTTGAAATGAAAATTTGAAAGCAAGAAATGTTAGAGAAATAATGTTTTTTTCTATGCTTAGAGATATGTCACTTGTATGATATGTATGGTACATATGACAGAGGTTTAATGGAGATGTAGGACACATTATATCACAGAGACTCTGAAATCTGCCTGTCTCTCAGGATCTGATCATCATGGGGGCTCCAGGGACATATTACTGGACGGGTTCAGTTCTGGTTTTTAACACGTCCAGCGGAGGGATGTCAGTGTACCTTGATGATGACGCTGGAGGCGTCAGCTACGGAAGCTACCTGGGTAACTGATACACCGTCTGCTGTATGAGTACTACTAATATAATACAGCTAAAACTACCATTGTACAACTGGGTTCTCCCTGGTCTCTGGTTGGTCTGCTTTAGCCGTGCCATGCTAGGCAACGCCGTAAGTTTACAGTTACTGCTGATGGAAACCATTTCCTTTTGCAGATAATACAGAACATCAATCCACACACAATGAAAACTTATTGTTTCAGTAATAGTAGTAAACATTAGTTGGTTGTAGTTTTACCCCAAAAATGTACCTAATATTAATGTTTAAATTGTTCAGAATCTTGTACCAAAAAAATGTCAAGACAGATGAAACCTGTAAGTTCATTGCAGTTACACAGATCAACTCTAAAACCTTATCTACACAGGATGCAGTATTCAGTCGTCCGTCTCACATCCGAGTGATTAAGCAGATTGTTTCATTCAATTCACAGAAGTGATCAGAAGCATATTTTTAGTCTTTGTGTCTGTTATCTTCAGACTCATGCATGTACCTACAGAAATTCTGTTTTTGATCTGCTTCCTGTGTGCTGACGGAGGACTCAGGCTGCGGATGTGCCTCTTCACAGCTATCACAATGGCCTTGTGGGGCTTGTTATAAAGTAGTATACCAGGAATGCGTGATACGTGATATTTGGCACCTCGTGTGCGAGAGGAGAACAGCAATGAGTGGAAAAGATAAATAATGTCACAGAAAGAAGAATCATCACTGATAGATTTTGAAACATATTTTGCTATTGGAGCCTTTATGAATGACTTCTGATAATGAATGCATGAGCACAACGGACCCGCCCCACCAGTTGTCTCTAGTGAATCCCTAAATAAAATTACTCGTCAACTACTTATCTGAAGGATAGGTTCAAATACTGATACAACTTTAAGTTGGGACTGTTGTTTATTTGCCCACATGCGTCAGCCATGCAGTAATGTTTTTGTGAAAAGTGCATATAATTGAGAGCAATGAGGAGAATGCAACCAAAACATTTTCTGCTTGTTAGCAGTGCTGTTGTTCAATAAATAGTGATCTACTCCACAAGATATGGTTGTATTCTGCACTGTTTGGGCAGTGTTCCTGCCTAAATGCCTAAATGAAGATATTATCAAGATTGAGAAGAACATTAGTGATCAATAGTACTGCAGCTTAAAGATATTTCTTACAGTGCATGTGTTTCTTTTCTCAGTTTCAGCTTAAGATCGTACTTTGTGGGAAATTATGTAAGACACAGCTGCAGCTATGCCGTTTCCTTTCATCTCACAGCGTTGCTATCACACTGATGTTCCTTCCTGACTCTTTTCTGAACATGTTCACATGTACAGGGTATTTACAGGTCTCAAAGTGTTAAAAACTGTTGCATGTAGTTTCCTCAAAAGAGGTGTTAGAAGACGATAGTTAGTTAGAAGGTTACAAAATGTTCTTATATCTGATCGCAGGCTGTCATGAGATGAAATACACTTGGGAAAGTGGGATTGTTTTGACAGTGGATTGTGCTGCAGGAGGCTGTTCAGTCCTTTTTTGTGAAGTTTTCTGTCAGACCTGTAGCAGACACTGCCAATACTGCTAGCTTTATAATCTCTTAATAATAAGTCTCAATATTAGCCAAAACATAGGTTAACTTAAATTAATGTTTCCATTCATTTGCTGTCATTTATTTGAGTCCAGGTTCTGTTAATTTAATTAATTATATCATTAGAAATGATTGTTATATACTGCTTTGAAGTACTGGAATAAATGGGATATGATCATCTTCTAGGCCATATCATTCTTGCTGGTTTTTCATCAGACTTTAATATTTTGGCCAGTGTGATGGTGAAACAGGTAGCAAATTGCATTCTGTGTGGTATTGAAAAGATCTTAAAAAGGGTCTTAACTTGGTGAACCCTGCAGAAACTGCATGTAAAAACTCAAATAATACGAAGAATCAGGTTTCTTTTAATCCTAATTCAAGAAACCACCATTACATTACGTTTAGGACAGAAACATATTGTAAGTGCACTTCAGCACATGGACTGTGTGCATTTACTAAGTCACCATGAAACCTTCACTTCTCAGTATTTGTGCTAAACAGGATGCTGAAAGCAGAAAGGTGTAATGTTCTTCAGAGGAACAGTAACTTTGTCTTTAGTTGGAGTGTACGTGTGCATGTGTGCAAACACTCACTGATAAACTCAAATTAACAGACATCAGAGACGGGTTTGACAATATTTGAAAGCTGTGGTTGTGTTTTTGCAGCTTTATCTCACACCTGCACACACATCTTTTTTGCATAGACCACTAAATGTCAAACCCTCACCTTAATCAAAACCAAGTTTTTAAACCTCTTTGGACCACATTCAGTCATTAAACCCTGGGTGGGTGGCTTGTGCCCCCATACTACAAGGGGTTTTGAACTGGTTATGAAACAGTCTTATTTCAAAACTGATGCCTCTGTATGACCTACAGAAACAAAGAAGACAGCTGTCAAATAAGTGTAGTGTAATACAAAACAATATTTCCTAAGTGGAGAAGAGGTATACTTTAGTGTATTTAAGTGCAAGTACCTCTGTACTCAGTTACGTTCCATCACTGCAATGAATCTGAATATGTGGCACTGTGTCCTGCTGCTGTTCAGGTTACTCTGTCGGAGCCGGTCACTTCATAAGTCCTGACACTGTGGAGGTTGTCGGTGGAGCTCCGCAATACAACCAGAAGGGAAAGGTACGACCCTGTGTAGCTGTTTGCTTGTCTGTCTGTCTGTCTGCTCTGAAAGTCTGAATGTTTGTGTGTTTGGGTTGTAGACATTTTTTAATTTCCAAGACAGTTCAATCTCATCCTCACTTCCTCTTGATAGTTTTGTGAATACTTTCAGATTTGTGATAAAACTTGAGTTGTTATAGAGTTTTTGTTGATATTGTTGTTTGGTTATGTAGTTGCGATGATTGATGTTAGCGTGTGTGTCTTTGTGATGTACAGGTCTTCATCTTCACAGTAGACAACAACATGCTGCGGGTTATCTCTGAAGTGTCTGGGAAAGAGGTAAGAAGCCACTTAGCATAGCATCCTCCATTCAACACACTGGAATAGTTAGCACTCAGAGTGTGTCTTTGTGTGTGTTTGTGTAGCTGGGATCTTACTTTGGCTCCAGTGTGTGTGTGGTCGATCTGAACGCTGATGGTTTGTCAGATATGTTGGTCGGCGCGCCCATGGCAACAGGCGTCGCCAGGGAGGAGGGAAGAGTCCATGTGTACATCAACCAGGGACAGGTGAGCACATACACACACACACACACACACATAAGACTTGCACTGACGCATGTCAAACTGCACCTTTAAAATGCTAGCTGCGAGTTGAAAAGTCAGCAAAATGTTTTTCCTAATATTTGACTTGTTTTGTTTTCTCTGTTGTTTTGCCACAACATAACAGTTAGTTTATTCCACAAACAAAGAGAATTATTGCCAGCTACTGTTTATGTTGATGCACTGAAACTTTGAAACTGAAGCCGCTAAATGGAATTCATCCATCTTTAATTTTATTATTTACACCTGTACTTTACCTACTGTGACATGTCTTCAGTGGAAAAGACCTAGTGGGACACAATTTGTGTTGTCTGTTTCCTCACACACTGACTCTGTGTCAGGCGAAGCTGTTGGAGGCGGAGTTTCAGCTGACTGGCAGTGACGCGTACGCCGCCCGGTTTGGAGAGACTATCGCGGACCTGGGAGACCTGGACGACGATGGTTACCCTGGTAATGACCACATCTGCATAGCCTGACCTATCAGCTTTCATTTTGGTGGAACCACTAAAATGTACACAGCGCAACTAATTTTGCTGCTGCTAATACCATAATACCACTTCCAGTACTATATTACTACTGCCAATATTACTGTGATCTTCTACTACTTCTTCTGATACTACTAATAACTACTGCTACTACAGCAAATACTACTGCTCCTTTTGATCCTACTCATACTACTGCCAGTATTACTGCTGCTGCTGCAAGTACTCCTGCTTATAGTACTGCAATACTACTTCTACTCTTTCAGATTCCACCAATAAGTACTACTACTACTACTGAAAATATAAATATTGTACTCCACTATTGCTCCTACTATTTCTGATACTACTACTAACATTACTTTCAAAGCTTGCACTGCTATTACCACAGTAGTAGTACCTTTAGTTGTCCACTGACAGGTTTCACTGGAGCAGCTTCTTGCTCAAGGACATCTCAACAGTGGTAATTAGGGAGGTTTCAGCGCTGCTCTTTTGCTTCTGCTTCACAAATTAGCCTAATACCTCTATAGTACTATGATGGCTGCTACTTCTCTAAACAACAAAAAACATATACTGTTTGTGTCTTTTTGGTTACTTGCCAAGGGGGCACAACCCACCCACCACCAACAACAGTAACTGCTACTTCCTGATAACAGCCACTTTAACAACTTTAACACAACACCCTCGCATGTACAGACCCCTCACCATCTATGTGTGCGTGTGTATGAGAGGGGTGGAGTGTGTTATTAAGTTCATTTAAACAGTAATGACAAACTGTTGCTGCTCTGTAATTGAACCTGCCTTCTAATCTGACACAGCTATATAAAAGGCTTTGTGTGTGTTCCAGTAGCTCTCTCTTTTGGTTTGACTCTCCGACCACTCACATCTTCAAAGGGTTCAGGTTAAATATTAAAGGGCCATGCTGGTATTTTCTCATGTTTATGTTCTAATCTTGAATGCTTTCATCCTGCTGAACTTTCCAGCAGTACCCCAGCCTGTATTTTACAAACACTGAGGTCATACGTCCGTCCAGGCCCCTCCCCAACACACCTTTCACCCCCATCCGAAAGTATAGACCTGCTTTCCCAGAGACTCAATTAACAATCAGCCAATTGCTTAAAAATCGGCAGCAAGTTTCAACTCTCTGAAAGTTTCATAGAAAAAGCAGCATAAAGTGATGGCTGCGAGGAAGGAAGGAAACCTGTTTGTGGGTTAAAGGTTAGAGATTGGGCTGATTAGTGGATCGAGACAGCACGGGTCCTCACAAATACAGTAATATAAATTTGTGTGTGTTTGTATGTGTGTAGATGTGGCGGTTGGTGCCCCGCAGGAGGAGGATCTAAAAGGAGCCGTCTATATTTACAATGGCAGGAAGGAGGGTATCTCACCAACTCCATCTCAGGTACCAACACTGATACAGAAGGCCCATGTATTAAAATAATAATAATAATAATGATAATGATAATAATAATATTTTTGTTGTTCAGGTGTAGGGGAAAGCTCAACTCAATGGTATTTTGTGTTTGCAAAGTGGAAAATTATTAGATAACTTATATGTATAGTGCAAAGTAGCAAAGTTTTCAAAGTTTAGGGACTGAAATGTAGTCAAGCAAAAACAGGTCACATAAAAACAAGACAAAATGAACAATTCCTTTATGACGGGTCAATCCCATACCATCGTTGTTCATGTGGGACGTGGCTCTTGCCCGTGTCCACTGCTATGTTTCATTTCTACCAAACCAAGTGCCATGTTTGATGTTATTAAAGTTATTTTTACACTGAAGTTTGTACATGGCAGGCAGTGAGGACAGTGTGGTGCTTTTGCAAGCAAATTGTAATCCTCTAACTTAATTTCCATCATGAGAAATACTCATACTAAATTTAATCAGGATTGGCTTTGTTGAGTCCCGTGATGAAGTTTGAATAAACTTCTTCAGCAGGAAAAACAGTGGGGAGGAGAAAGATTTGGGTATAAACCGTTCTGTGAGATCCAACATGGTGTATGTGTGTTTTCAGAGGATTACTGGATCCAGCCTGGGTTATGACCTCAGGATGTTCGGCCAGTCGTTGAACTCTGGCATCGACGTTGATAATAACGGCTACCAGGGTAAACTGGACATTCACAACAACCATATACAAACAGACATATTTCCATGTTGTACATTTCTGTTCTCATTAGATCTGCTTTAAATCAGTTTAACTCTCTGTCTCTGCAGATTTGGCAGTTGGTGCGTTCCTCTCGGACAAAGCGGTTGTTCTCAGGTAAAACTCAACACTCAAGCTCTCTATTCAACACAACCTGCTGTATTTCTGTCTCCTTTCATAGATGTGTACAGCTTCCTTATTTTAGCTGATTTGGAAGGAGATCAAATGACAGGGGAAGCAGGACATCCCACAGTGGTATAACCTAAACCAAAAGAACCAAAACAGAAAAAAAACTAAGTTTGCTGAAAACAAGATTTTCAAGAAGCAAATTCATGATTGTCAATAATAAAATCATCCATCTGCGGTTTTCAATACAGATATATAATTTGTATTTCAGTCCAGTCAGCATGCTTAAATAATTTCTCTGAATGTATCCTGTGTGCCGTAGGACCCGTCCGGTGATTCAGGTGAAGGCGTCTCTGGTTCTGCCTGAGCAGATTGACTCGAAGATGGCTCTGTGCCGAGAACACAAGACTCCAACTGTCTGCTTCAATGTAACCGTCTGCTTCAGTGTCAGGTCCAGACACTTCAGAGGAGCTATAGGTACTGTAAACCCAACTGTCGAGTATATAAGACTCAAGGTCTAGTCTGCTAATTAATACGATAGATTTTATACTCAGGTAGTCAAAAGCTTTTTCTTTATTTATTGAAGTGGCAGCTGTAGTTGCTGTCGGATTGTGTCAGCTGTAGTTAGCTAATTAAGCTAATGATAGCTCCATAGGTTGGTTTGGCTGACTGACTTTGAGCGATAACCCTGTAAAAGGGCCTTACATATACACTTCGTGGCTATATGAGTTGTACTAAAGTTCAGTATCCGCACTAGCACCATGTAGAAAGATGTGTAAAAAAAAGAAGAAGCACTGTGTTCTTGTAATGCAGAGGAGAGTTAGTTGTACACTACTTTAACATGTGGAGAAATCCAAGGCTTGAAATGCCTGCTGTGCCTACGGTTGCTAAGCTACTGGACAATCACTGGTTGCGTAAAAGTTTTAGCAAATAGTAAATTATAGTGTACATACGATTGCACTACTTACCTACTGATACTGAAGATTGTTCTTTTCCTCTTCAGATCTTCAGTATAATCTGACCTCTGACCTCCTCCATAAACCATCCTTCCCTCATCGTTTCTATTTCCATGGTAACGGGTCATCCAATAACACAAGGGGGCGTGTGAAAGCACGACATGGCCAGCTCACTTGTACCACACACGTGGCTTACCAAAGGGTAACACACTCACACACGTGAAAAAGTTCAACATGGGCAAAATAACATGTTAATAACTGATTGGATTAGCCATATTGATGCTAACAGTGTTTGTTCCTCTTACAGAAAGATGTGAGGGACATTTTTACTCCGGTCAAGTTTGAGGTTTCCTACAGTCACAGAGAAGCAAACACCCAAAGAGGCTCTTCAAAAACCTTCCCTCCATTAAAACCCATTCTGCAGCAGAGCGCAGGACACCAGAACACTATCACCAACCAGGTAACGACCACTGCTAGTTACCAGGTACCAGCTAATGCTAACACCAACTAGGTATTAGAAAGTGCTAAAACTAACAAGGTACCATTGCTAACACCAACTAAATTCAGATTAGAGCTAACAACAAATTGAGCATAGCGTTAGTTCAGGCAGGCCACGAAGTCAGGCTCAGCTCTCAGTTACAGCTATATCATATGATCACAGCTAGTCATAAACATACATCAGGTGATCAGCCGATGGCTCAGCTGACTTCCCTCAAGCATCCATTTGGCAAATATCATCATGGCGCCTTATTTAAGCTGCTTTAGCCTGCCTACGCTCTGCTGCTTCCTTCACAAGCCTTTTTGCAACCACCTCCACCCAGCTCCTCTTTTATGTTGTATCTAATTAATCAATGCATTTTCTGATTGCATTGATGCTTGCTCTGTTCTGTACCCTGGGGGTCTCTGCTGCCGCTCTCCTTGTCTTAAACTTTTCCCTGTATGCACATGGAAGGGCAGGGAGTGTGCTCTCCCTGCCTTAAGGTTTTCCACATCGCACGTGGAAGGACAAATAGATTTTTCTGTCCCAGAAACAGATCCATAACCGCAAATGTAATATTCTGCTTTGGAATAAAAGATATTTTGACAAAATAATTATTTTCTAGCCATTAACTAGTTAGTTTGACTGATCGCAGTCTGTTTTGATAACTAGACAGAATTACCTTTTCAAAAACTGACTGTTTTATAGCAAACCTGGAAGCTGAATGTCAAGGCTAAGCTAAAAAATGCTTTTTAGTTTGTTTTCAATGTGGTCATGATTTTATTCAGCTCAACCACACACACCAGCAATGACTTCCTGCTAACTGAAATGTGTTTACAGCTGCATCACATCATCTGCAGCACATTAACCAACATCAGTCAGCTCATCCTGTGTCCACACCATGTCCCACTGACAGAGCAGGAAGAGTTAACATGTAGGAATTTACAGCTGGAGTTAGTCATCAGGATCTGTAAGGCTGAGGTCAGAGGTCACGGAAGTCACTGAGTGATTATTATTGATATCATCAATAAACTCCCTGCCTCTTTCTCTCTGTCAGACTTGGTTTGCTCGTTCCTGTTCTCTGATGAACTGTTCGGCCAACATGCAGCTGTCAGCTGAACTAGTGCTGCCACAGTAAGAACACACACAAACACACACACACACACACACACACACAGCAGGGAGTTATAAGTGAATCAAAAGAAAGGGACTGATGCAGACAGAGGTTGAAACAACAGCAGCTTTTAATTCAGCAGGATTAACACATGTCATATTTTACAACGTTCAAGTCACACACAAGTGATAGTAGCGATGACTTCTCTTGTGTTGTGCTTTATGTACAAGATAAGCCAAGACCAGCCATTCAGTTCTCTACAAACAATATACAACATGGAGGCTTTTCACCTCACAGAGGAGAACACATGAGGCTAATTATCCGCTAGCAAATTAAGGAGAATTTATTTAGAACATCAGTGTGCACTGCGGCAGTGCTTTGATCTTGGTTCTGGCTGGACCGGGCTGTTGTTGTGTTCTCTATGGCTGGGAGATATGGCAAAAAATATCACTGTATCATGATATAAATTAAAGGAATAGTTCAACACTTTTTGTGTTTGCCATAAACACTGGAAGTAGGGGGAAGCAACTGGCCTGGCTCTGACTGAAGTTCTAAGATACACCTACCAAAACTGCAAATTGTTGATTTTACATTTCTGTAGATAACATGTTTCAATTAGTGCACGTTAAAGGTGCTGTTAGGGAATTTTCTAAACTATAAAACTATAAACAGAGCCTGGCTAGCAGTTTCCCCTTGTTTTGAGTCTTTGTGCTAAGCTAACCGTCTCCTGGCAGCAGCTGGTTATGAAAACAGTCTCAATTTAATATTGATGCCTCTAGATGAACTACTTAAGCACACCAGACCAGCAGCAAGAAGATGTTTCTATATAGTTATTCTTAATGCCCGCTAGATGGTTGGATTTGGTCAGATTCCCCTTGAAATGAAATGAATGAAACAATGATGTGGAAACACTGCCACCTTTATCCACAGTGGCTGCCAGAATCAAGAAAAATGAAAGTTAATTGTTTCTACTTTAAAGCCATTATGTTTGTTAAATTCTCTACGAGTTGATTCAGAATCCAACAAAATGACAATTAAATTGTTGGAGCTGCAAACAGAAAAACTACAAACTATAGAAAAAGAAAACAAAAATCTTGAATCTTTTCTGTGTCAAATGTCGATGTGAGTTTGCCTAGGGGACCACTCAGCTCTCCTGTCACTCTAACAGAGGTGTGTGTTTTTGGGCAACTTCTAGCCTGTTCTGCGGTGCCATATGGTTACAAATACTCTGCAAGCAATGTAACTTTTTTATAGCATTTTATTTTCAGGGAACTGTTTCTGTAGTGTTTCTCCTGCCCAGCACTAGCGTTTGTAATTGTCAGTCAGCAGCTGTATTTTTATGTTGGTTCTCACTGAAACTTCAATGTTGTTCAACTGTTGTTGTTATTATTGTTTATCTTGTTATCTTTTGTCAACAGTCAGCAGCAGTACTTCGCTCTTGGCTCTGGACAGACCATCGTGTTGAAAACCTTGCTACTGAACTCTGGAGACGACGCCTTCATGCCGCGACTGACGCTGCGTTTCCCCAACAACATCCACTATGTTAAAGTACTGCAGAATGTGAGTTACCATCATGTTGATGGGGCAGCTTAAGGAAATGCATGCTGTATTTCCTGTGAAACCCTCGTCTTTATGAAGGCAGTATGAATCCAGCACAGGAATGGCAGATTCCAGGACATTTGATGAAAAAAATCCAATCCTAAATAGTATAAAAAACAGGGTTTGACTTCATGAAAATCTTAAGGATTATAGCTTTAACAACATATTAACTCATTAAACACAGTAATCACAACAAACTGGGTGTTTGTGTGTACAGGAGGACAACGTGGTCAGTTGTGACGTCACACAGGAAGTCAACAGTGCAGTTGACTGCAGTGTCACCAGCCTCCTCCTCTCAGCCCACACGCAGGTAAGAATCAGTCAAACATACGCTGTTACTGAATGTTTTATAACGAGACTAAGGGTCAAGAGTCATGCTAGTGGCTCTGTGAGGTTGAACTTAGGGGCGTCAGTGCTTTTAGCTAAATGCTAGCGTAGTAGTCCAGACGTTAAAGGCCATATCCAGTGTGTCTGTACTTTTTGTTCTCCAGCTTTTGTCTCATCAGCAAATGATTGCTGTATTTCCTTCATCTCAGTGGTTTTTCATTGTAAATATTGTGAAAGAAACTGTTGAGACATCCCAGTTCCTCTCAGAACTCTCTCTCAGAAAGACAGAACACCAGTTTAAGGTGGAATTTCCCTTAACATGTAAAAGGGTAACATTTTATATAAACACACAATTCAACAAAGATGAAAAAGTAAATGAATAAACTAGATTAGACTCTACAGGAAAGAAGAGTAGCAAGGAAAATGTAAAAATGACTACAAATATAATCCTGATCCATCATCTAGCAGCTCAGTCATCAGAACTGACGCACAAGAAAACTGAAAGCCATTTGTCCTCCTGTTTCTTGCAGTTGAATATCAGCTTCCTATTGGACGTTAGCCAGAACAGCACACCTGGTGACATCACTGTTCACGTCAACACCAGCAGGTAAGGACACACCCCTCCTCTCATCTCCACTAAAGTAAAAGTATAGAAGCAGTCACAGTAAAATAAACATAAGTATCAAAAGCTAAAGCACCAATTGTGAAAAATATTTTCATACACAGTGTTACATTATTGTTGCAGTGTAACTTAAAATTGAAGCCAGAAAAATTAATTTAAGGGACATTTTAAGGAGAAATCAGGACTTAAATTTTTTGAGAAATTGACTTTATAATGCACAATATAAAACTTATTATTGAACTAAACTTCTCACAAACAGAGTTGAGATGAAAAGATGAGATGTTTGTATGTTAACTATGTGTTAATCTATTATATCTCTCTCCAGTGATAACTACGAGAGCGAGGAGTATCTCCATGACAACTCCATCAGTCTCCCTCTTTCTCTCAGATATGGAGTCAACGTCAACATCCACGGGTGAGTCAGCATAAACATATTACTATAATGATAATATTAATAATATTCTTTATATATAGAGCTTTTCAAAACCCAAATAAGAAAGTGTAAGAAAAAATACAAACAGAATTCCATTCATTTAAATTTCCTTATTTGCAACACAAAGCACTGAACATGACATTTTTAATAAAACTAGTAGCCACTTTAAGCTATTGGAGCGTGTTTTGCTTTTCTGATTCAATTGATTAGTAAATGTAACAGTCTTCTATAGTTGGACTCAACCTTAGTGCACCAAGCAAGACAACAACATTGTTAGTGTGTAAGCAGAAGCTCTCAGTGCCTGTAACCCTATTCATGTAAATAATCTCCAGCAGCCACTGATGGTCTGTCTGTCTTGCAGTTTTGTGACTCCCACCTCATTTGTGTTTGGAGATGAAGACTCAGCTCCAGTTGACTGCTACCCTGAAAGATTCAACTACACATACAAGGTAAATGTCAGCATGCACAATACCACGACCCTAAAACTGAAGTAGCTACATAGAATTTAGCCTTCAGTCATTCATTATTTACACCTGTGGCATGTCAAAATATTTATATATAGCAAGCTGTGTGAACAGTGCTGACCATAAAGGGAACTGAGAGCCACAGAGACAAGAATGGAGGAATCTATTATGGTTTATTCGCTATGTGTGACCATCTACTTGCATTTATGCCTTTTCTGTCAGAGTGTAAACTCCACAAAAGACAAAGGGTCTGCAGTACTGCAGGACCGTTACAGCAGTCAGTGGCACAATACATCTTTTGAATTAACCATGCGAAATTACAGTTTTGCTTGCTAACTAGCAAGCTTAGCTAGCAAGGTGTTTTTCCACCTTTAAGAACTAAAATGATACCAGGGGAGTAAAGGACAGAGAAAAAAAAGGATAAAAGCTAATGTGACTGACCAGTGGTAGCATGTTCCAAGCTAGCTTTAGCTAATGGGAGCACAATGCTTGTGAGAAACACAAAAACTGGCCTCACATTCTGTATAAACACATCCTCCCATGGCGACACTGTACACCGAGTAAAAGCTCAGCAGTTCTCCTTCACTGCTTAAAACGGCCTGACAAAGCTCTGCTTCCACTTTCACAGTTGTCTGATGTTTTGCCAAAACCTCTGAGGCCAACTGAAATTGCTAATGCAGTCATCCTAAACTCTTCGTCTTTGCTTCTGGTGACAGCCTGAACAGAAACCCAGCATCTATCAAAGACTTAGGCTCCATGGTTGGCCCTGTGCATAGAGGCTACAAAGTGGTGAATCCTGGAGGGAAAAAGTCTATTCTAATCATATTAATGTTTGTCTGTCTGCAGGTGTTAAACTCTGGTCCCAGCAGGTCATTAGATACTGTGGTTGACATTGCACTACCGAAGATCCTCGCACCTTTCCGACACAGACTGCTGCAGGTGGTCGACTGGCAGGTACGTCCAGTGCTAGCAGCAGCAGTTACAGCATTAGTAACAGAAGTAGAAGTAGCACAGTCAGTATAAAACTTTTTGTAGTGTGTGGTTCCTCACAAGGTTCTGAAGATATATTTCAATTGCTTGCTGCTGTCGTTGTCAGTTAGTGAAGCCAGAGAAACCTAATTTGGGTAAAGAGGGCTGGAGCCAGGGGTGGAGCTGAGCAGTTAAATAATCTACTGAGACCTGACCCAAAAATGAACTTTAAAGAACAAGTTCAGTACCTGCTGTCACCAGCAGATGACAGACTTCACTGTTTTTT